CAGGCCGCGAGAATTGCTACAACCGTCGAGACGGTAATCTACCGCTGGCCGAGCGCGCAGGCGACAATTCGTATTGCTCGCACGAGGGAAACGCGAGCTGGATAACAATAAAGTCCGCGACAGGTGGAATACCTCTCGGTACTAAGCAGGAACGATTATCGCCCCGCGTTTAGAAGCCGACCGATCGCGGGAGAGCCTCGGTCGAACAATGCTTCGCTCGCGCAACGCCTGCCGTTCCGAGGACAGGACATTCCTCGCCGTTTCCAGTCATCGTTCGCCTCTGTTTAACCCACTTGTACGCCTGACATCGCTGCGGCCGTGTTTGCCTATAAAACTTTATTGGAAAATCTCAACCGAAGCGCGCGCTTCGAGCGATCCAGCGATTTATGGCGGATCCAACGCCGTATTTTAACACCTTGACAAATGATAATATCGAAACAACTTGTAACAACATCTCTATACAATTCGATGGATTATTATAGTTTTTGATCAATTTTTTAAATAATACGTAGCCGTAGATCTCCGATGTACGCATGAAGAATGATTAGAAAACTGCCGGTATAGATAAAGTGTCATAAGTCTTGCCAACAGAAATCAAGTAAAAAGAAACGAAACATAAGCTTCGCTCGTTCGAAGACAGTCTGCTAAGAATGAAACATTGGCCTCGAACATTCTAACGCGAATAATTACGCATTCGAATCTGTCACTGTCCCCATAAAGATCGTAAAAACCGACCTAGCGATATAAAGAGGAGACGTCCGTGGAGTATAATTGTCGAGTAGAACGAAGATACAGCCGTTTTATAGTTCGTTATTGCCGCGTAAATCACGTTGCTAATGACACTTTCGGGTCCGCGAGGATTCCAAATAGACGACAACGTACGAGCCGACGAATCCTCTTTAATTGGATGTAAAATCTGTTGGCATGGCCGGCGTCGTTATCTCGAAAAATTATAGTACTGCCATTTGGGGAGGCGCCGCGAAGGTTAAATCGACCCGACGCTGATGTTTTAATTTGTTCCCGTGTTCTCTCCTCGTCCACGGTGATCGGGATCGATTCTTTGATTGTCCGACAGGATTCGTCGGCCCGTGCCAGCCACTGCGCGGATCCCGCGAATACGGTGCGACAAGGAGAACAGCGACGCGGAACAAAAGTTTCGGTGTTTCGCCGCGGTGGGAGAAAGAGCGGAGAAAACGAGCGAGACCGCTTAATTAACTCCGGCCGGCACGGTGTGTCTAGGCGGATAGGGAAATGTTGACCGCGTTAGGGCCACGGATACCCGAATGTACAGCTGTAACGGCTGGCAAAGGTCCAACAGGCGTGTCTGAGACATTATACCCTCATAAACACGAATTTGTCATTCGGCCTCAACTGTCCGGCGCAGGGCACGCGTTTCGAAATGACTGTTCGAATAAATTATCCGGTGACGCCACTCTACTCGCGACATAAATCCGCCCGGACACCGGCAATTTATCCGGAGAATATAGCCCGGTGCCTGCGCGGATACGCGCGGATCACGATATAACCAAGAAAGAAAGTTAACTAATTATCCGCCGTTTCGACGTCCGATTATTATTTATCAGATCGGGCGGCTATCTTTTGTCCCGGCCTCGATCGGTCCCGTTCCCCTCGTCTGGCTCTTTTATTTTAACAATCAACTATTAGCGGACTACGCTTGCTTGCTTTGCTCCTCCTCGAAGCATCGTCGATCGGAGGAGTCCTTCTTCCCTTGTACTTTCTCCAACCGCTTTGAAGCGGCCGATCGTAAAAAACTTTTACCTCGACGGAGAGGCCAAGAATCGCTGTTACAAGTCCGCTCGCTCCATCTCGTCACGTGATTTCCCTCGGGGATTATCATTATTCTCGCGATACGTAGCCGATGGGATCCGACCGTATGTATCACTTCCGGCAGCAATCTCGCCGGAAAATGTTCGACCGTGAACGAGAAACCGATTGCCGCGTCGCGTTCGACGGATCGTTCGACGTTTTCCAACGAGGGCAAGTTTTTGATCGTCATTAACGCCCGTTTATCACGCCACGCGTTAATAGACACGCGTGCGCGCAAACACACACACAGAGAGAGAGAGAGAGAGAGAGAGGGGCGGGGGTCGGCTCAACGTGGCCGCCTTTGATGAGCAACTGGAATTCATGGCATTTGATCTGAATTAGAGAGCCTTCCGGCACACTGCCGTCCAATTTCTGTTGCAATCATTCATCGAGCTTTGAAACGTGTGTCGCCCCCCTCGCCGGGAACAAAGACGCTGCGATAAACTTCAATTAGCGATATCACCGCGGCGATCGCTGCTAATTTATCGCGACAGACGACACGCTTCTCATTCGCCGTGTTTCGCCGCATTCGCAAACGAACCGTCTGTACAGCCACGGGGACAAAAAATGGGCAAACGGCAAGGAACGAGAGTTCTCCTATCTCCCGAGAGTTCTCTCTCTCTCTCTCTCTCTCTCTCTCTCTCTCTCTCTCTCTCTCTCTCTCTCTCTCTCTCTGTACGTCGCGATTGAAAAACTAGCCGAGATATAAGTAACAACCCTTTTAACTCGTAGAACGCGTCCGTCCACGTCCGCGGCTCCATACCGCGGATCTCGAGGAGCGCTTTATCTCAAAGACGACATCGCTCACTAGTCACGGGAAATGGCTCGCGCAATCTTTTCCCTGAATGCCGGTTGTGAGTCTGCTCGACATTCACAGGATATTAAATGAAAACATTGGACAGTCTTCCAGTCCGACGGAACCACCTAATATTTGCCAAGAACGATATCGCAAAGGAACCATCAGCAGACACGCTTCTTCTTTCTTTCTTTATTCCTTGCTTGCTTGCTTGCTTGCCTGCGCCTTCCTTGCCTTGCCTTGCCTGTTTGCCCGGTCGGTTGCTCGCTACGCCGGAGTACCTGTTTCCACGAGGGCCTAACTTATATCCCCAGTAAACGTGAAAACCCCCGGGTCGTGGCGAGGGACGCGGGGTCCGGAGGGCCAGCAGAAGGCAAGCGAAATCGCCTTAAAATAATCTTGCCATTTCGCTGGTGCGCGCTGCATAATGCCGCGAGCCGGCGCGACGGCGCGGCTCGCTCGCCTCGCCTCGCCTCGCCTCGCCGAATAAACCGGGAGATGAGTAGATTTTATCGCTATCAATTTACAATACAGCCCTCCGCGGCCAGCCCGGGACAGGTTTTACGGCCCGGCGCTGGTCAACTAACACAAAACGGGTCTTATCGATCCCAGCCCCGATTGTTTGCTCAAATAGAGAGTCAATTTTATGGTTTATACACTGCGGCGAAAGTCGTTGCACCCCCCCGCCCGCCCCCGGGTACAAATGTTTCCATTTCCCGCGAATTAACCATCGGTTACATTTTTTTGCCCCTACCAGCCTTTCCGTATCTTCTATTCGGAGAGAAACAATTAACACGATCACTGCCGTGTCGATGGCTATGCGATCGATACGCGATTTTCTTTTCGATCATCTTCGAGAATACAGTAGTCTCCCTAATTGACGCTCAGATTGTCCACAAAAATGGACAATTTTGGAAAAGGAGATACGATTGTTCGAGCCTCGTGGCTCGTTTTCTACGGTTATCGATTGTCAACAACTATAAAAACGAGTCGCAAGGTTCGAATAATCGTGTCTTCTCTTCCCAAATTGTCCATTTTTGTGCACAATCTGAGCGCTAGTAAGGGAGACATTACGGTATTTCTCGTAAATAATTGCGTAAATCGAATTTCATCGAGTATTATGATTGAGGAAGCGACGATCTTTTTGACTTCGCAATTTCGTTTGTAGCGTGGCGGCGAACGTCTCGACGAATCGACGGAGAAGCCCCACGGTTGTTATTGTTTGATTCTCGAGCACCACTAAATTATCGCCGGTAGATCATTATTATTGCAGGTTCGAATAACGATCTTCCGATCGTAAATACCGAAGAAAGTTGTCCGCGAGAGATATTCGTCATCGCACTTACAGATCAAATATCGCGATCTATTGGCAAACACGATCCCGCCGCGCAGCTCGAGATAAACAATCAACGATTGGCTGCGTATCGCGCGACGAGCCCTGTATAAAATTTCATCTTTGTTCCGAGTGATATCATTAACCCGATATAATTGTCCAATGGAAATCTTCTGTTAAAATCAACGAGATCTCTCTGTCTCTCTGTCTCTCTGTCTCTCTGTCTCTCTCTCTCTCTCTGTCTCTCTCTCTGTCTCTCTGTCTCTCTGTCTCTCTGTCTCTCTCTCTGTCTCTGTCTCTCTCTCTCTCTCTCTCTCTGTCTCTGTCTCTCTCTCTCTCTCTCTCTCTCTCTCTCTCTCTCTCTCTCTCTCTGTCTCTCTCTCTCTCTCTCTCTCTCTCTCTCTGTCTCTCTCTCTCTCTCTGTCTCTCTCTCTGTCTCTCTGTCTCTCTGTCTCTCTGTCTCTCTCTCTCTCTCTCTCTCTCTCTCTCTGTCTCTCTGTCTCTGTCTCTCTGTCTCTGTCTCTCTGTCTCTGTCTCTCTGTCTCTGTCTCTGTCTCTGTCTCTCTGTCTCTCTGTCTCTGTCTCTGTCTCTGTCTCTGTCTCTGTCTCTGTCTCTGTCTCTGTCTCTGTCTCTGCATTGTTCGAGTACGCGGACACGAACGGTATCGATGCCCGATTAACGAGAAATCATTGTCGCGCAACCGCTTGTCCCTGTTATAAACAGAATCCTTCTTTGCCGCGTGACGTTAATTATTTTCACACCAGCCGGCACGTTTTCCGCGCTGTGTTTCCGGTAAGTCGAGTGGCTCAGGCTCGGTTCAAAGAAGGATTATCAGTGTTAACGATGCCATTTTGATGGAGGCGTAGCTCTGTGCACGCGAAAATCCAACGCGAGTAGAGCACGCACGCCGGCTAGAATACCCGCGCCGGTATTACGTGTAATTAAATCGACGCTGGGAGTCCACCCGTCGCTCTTACCCTCTCCCCCCTCCCCCCGCCCCGTTTATTAATTAACGCGTTACATACGAAATTATTACTACGCGATAAAACCGTCTGGAGGCCGAAAACGGTGTTTGCGACTTCCGTGTTTTATTTATCGGTTATTTACCAGTCCATTCTGGCCGGAAGAATACGCAGCAATTAATTACAATCAAACATCGAATATACAGCGCTCCGGTTGCCGTTAATACGTACACGCGGGTCGGTTTGTTCGCACCCAAAATGAAATCGCTCCGGGACTCGTTCCGACTTTCTAGTCTCGCTCGGAACGCTTCTTTCTAATCGGCGCAAGACGCCTCGCAGACGTAAGAATCTTTCGGGAGTTTACTTCCGCACGGCCGGTTCTCGGATTTCCTTCCGCAGCACGTGACCGAGCCGGACGTCGACACGGAAGACGCATTGCTCTCGCAACTATCCAAAAGTTTTTCAATCGTTTCCGGAACGATCGGTTTAAATCTTCCGCCGAGTGCACGCGCGCCCCGCAGAATCGCCCTTTGCACCGCTTTCTCCGCCGCCTTTCGCTCGTGCTTCATCCCTTCGATCTCCCTTCGCAGCTGATACACCTACGCACACATATTCTCTTCACACGTGTGTCTTAACTTACAAGGTAAGGTCCTCGGGGTTGACGCTGACATTTTAATGCGATTCGGTTCAGTGGCAGAGCTTGCGGAGCTGAATCCAATGGTATCTGGTTTCGGAGGCAGACGGCTTATAGTTTTTGAGATAATTAATGTTAAAGTTGCTAATAAAAGGCCAGAATGTGGCGCTCGATTGCGGCGCGAGGCACCGTGCAGCAGGATGTGGGGGTGCCTCGCGCCCTAATCCAGCGCCTCTTTCTGGCCCTTTGTTAGCAACTTTAACATTAATTATTTCAAAAATTACGAGCTGTACCAAATCTCGTGAAAATGTGAACGTCAACCCTAGGGACCTCTCCTTGTCTCAGTTTAAACTCTACCTCCGAATGGCGTCGGTGGCCAATCGAGCTGAAACTTGGCAGAACTCGGACTTCGAGAGCGTAAATATTTACGAAACTAAAGCTGCTTCCAATATTTTAATATATCGAAGCTCCATCTCCGACCCCATACCGTTACTTCAAAAGGAACCCAATCCAACCCAAACGCATTTCTGATTAAGTACGAATTACATTTGAATCATTAAAGACGAATAATTAAACCGGCAAATTGAATTTAATACGCGGCACTTCGTTCATTCACCGATCGCAACACCGATTATCCGCTCGACGAAGTGTATTCTCATTCACATCGAAATTCAAAAGATACTAAATAACACGTTGAGATTCAAAAAATGCTAAATAACACGTTGAAATTTAGAAAATACTAAACGATACGTTGAAATTAAAAAAATACTAAACAACACGTTGAAATTTAAGAAATACTAAACAACACGTTGAAATTCAAAAAATACCAAACAACACGTTGAGATTCAAAAAATACCAAACAACACGTTGAAAGTGAAAAAAAAATACTAAACAACACGTTCAAATTCAAAAAATACCAAGCAACACGTTGAGATTGAAAAAAATACTAATCAACACGTTGAGATTCAAAAAATACCAAACAACGCGTTGAAATTCAAAAAATACTAAACAAATTATTTCCAACAAGATACAGAATATATTCAGTGAAAAAAATTCCTACGAAGGCTGCCACACACGCGCGCACAGTTTCATTATCATTTAGCCACCGACACCGTTCGCGAGAGTGTCCCGAATTTAAATAATTCGCCACTCTACTTCGCACTCCAATTTCTCGATCCGATTGTTCTCGCATTTCGGGCATCCCTTGAACTTTTTTTCTTTGACCGTACAGGACACCTTCTGCATGGACCTCGCGGACTTGCCGTTCCCGTTTCCCGAGCAAACCGAGCCCTGGCCCGGTTTCGGTTTTTTAGGTTCGCCCCCGTTGCATAGCGCCAGGTCGTCGCTGCACTTCGAGGTCCTCCTGCTCTGCGTCGACGGACATCTCACGTCTTGCTTCTTCCTAGGCTTCCCGCTCGGGCACGGCACGCCCTGGACGAACTTCTTTATTATTTGCTTCGTCGGGCACGGCGTATCTTCCACTGGCATAGCCTCGCCGCTCGATGACTGCGAATTTGTTCCGGTTAATTTTGATACATGTTTGCGAAGATCAATGGCCGAAAGCTTGTCGCCTGAATCTGCCCCCTTTCGAGAGTCGAGCTCGACGCGATCGTCGCGATCGCGTCAACGCGGAGCACAGGTGTTTGCCCACGGGGAACAAGAGACACCGTACGATCCTCACTTCCTCGGCTCTCGCTTTTTGAAACTGGCCAAATGCGTTTTTATGCGCAGCTTCTTTCTCGCCGGTTGATCGGTTCCCCGGGCGCCGTCCGAGCGAATCGCGTTCGTGGAACTCCTGTCCGGCTTGGACACGGCCGAAACGTTCGCGGTAGGTGCGAGAACGCGATTAAACGTCGGAATCGGTGGGAAACGCGTCGTCGGGCTTGCGAACGCGGCCAGTTTGTTCTGGGACTCGATGCTGTCACGCTTCAATTTATTGTTCTCTTCCTCGAGACGCTCGATCTCTTTCTCGAGCTGCGCCATGCGTTTGTCCTTCTCGCTGGCCAGCCTGATTTTCCTCGACGGCTTCTTATTCCCCGTGGACATCTCTCGAAAGGGTTATGGTCGGTGAGCGAGGTGAATCGTGATCGAGGAGCCGGTCACGAAGCGATTACAATTTTCTTTGCCTCCGCCTCCTAGCAACTGCGAAACACGTGAAATAATCGCGCCGCTTTGCGTCTTCTTTGTTTCATCGGTTCCCCTGTTTTCTTCCCCGTGGAAGACGAAGAGAACGGCGTGACCGCGGGCCAACGGGAACGCGAGAAGGCAAGACGCCAAACTATCCACTCCGCGAAATGAATCCGTTATTATATGAAATATATTAAACGATCGCGTGCGCGCTAGTCCGCGCACCCCGGCTTTTCCGCGATATTGCTGCCGCGCATTTTCCGACCTCCCTGCAGTGCATATTGCTTTTTATAAATGCAGACGCCGGCATGCAACGGGTCGGGTGAAATTCCGCGATTGAAGAAGAACAAAGACAGACGGGGGGCGACCTTTGCTCGCGAGGGCCGAAACATCCCTCTTTTTCTGAATCGGCGAGCTAAACGGAACGTCCTCCGCCGCCGCCGCTGCTGCGAAATAGTCGCAATATTTTAACACGACGTCGTAATAATATCGTTTACAAGCGAGTTCCCTTAGGGGAGGGGGGAGAGGGAGAGAGAGCAGTACTTTCTCGGGCTCTTTATTCCATTAAAACGGGGAGTCCTTGGTTCCGAGCGGAAACTCCGCCAACCAGACAGACGAGCTCGCCCGACACGAATCCGCCTCCGCTATCCATCCCCGCGCTTACCTCTTTTTCAATCCGAATCCTTGCTGCAGTCGATATTAAGGAAATTTTAATGGGAACTCGTCGCATTAACCGGTACTGGAACCGTCCTGGCGCAGTCGACCCATGAATTGCCGCGACACTTTTGCGCACTAGCGGACAAAATTGTAAGACGGACCATCGAGATTACGGCTTCGCATTTTATCCGGTTGTGACATTAATGTTCGTTACGCTCGGCGAAGGTTTTCATAGCTGAATGTCTATTACGTTGCACGCAATTCGCTTAAACCCTCGCACTATAACGACTCGAACGCGATGAAGATATTATTCGTTGCTCCTAGATCGAAGCAAAATTCGATTATTCTATTATCAAAGTCTAGGAACGAAGGTGAACAGGGGCGTACAAAAATTGTCGCAAAGATTGTACACAAAAATTGTTTCGTTCTATCAGGGAAATGATTGTGGACGAAGAAATTGTATCGCAAAGAACGAACCCATTGCACTCGAAGCTATTTTAACTGTAAATATAATATCATTTTTCTCACTTATAGTATTTTTTATTTTATACGATAAAATGCATTTTATGCATATGAAATCGATTCTTGGGACTTACGCAACAGTTACACTCTTAACAATTTTTTAAATCTAAACTTTAGTAATATAAAAATTATCTGAAAACGTGATGTAACAAATTTTAGTGGTGCCTCCGAGTTACTACTCGAGTGCAAAGGGTTAATTTACGAAGATTCGTCTTAGATTCATAGCTGAATGTCTATTACGCAAGCAAGAAAATTCGTTGCACGCAATTCGCTTAACGACTCGAACACGGGATGAAGATTTCGTACATCATTTATTAAATATGAATATTATTCGTTGCTCCTAGATCGAAGCAAAATTCAATCATTCTATTATCAAAGTCTAGGAACGAAGGTGAACGGGGACGTACAAGACACAAAAATTGTCTCGTTCTATTAGCGAAATGATCATCGTCGAATGGTCGAAGAAATTGCAATTGCAAAGGATTCATTTATGAAGATTCGTCTTAGATCCGATTAGAAGATCAAGCTTGACTTCAACGAAGCAGACCGAAGAGTGTGCGAAAAATATCGATGCCTGAAGATTCGAGTGCATCTAGCTCTAGCGTATTTACCAGGAAACGGACAAGGACGCTGAACAAACGTAATCGATTACTGCGGGTCCCCACTTGCGAAAGGGTGACCAGGCCTGGATTAGGTAAATAAATTCTGTAGTTCGTTTATCGAATTCCTGAACGCGGGTCCTGCGTTCAATTTCAACCCTTTGAAACAACATGTACACGCACCCCAGGTCTCGTCTTACCATGGCGAACTGCGAACGCTTGTCGTCGGGGTCTTTGTACGTATTCACACGACAACGACGACGACGACGACGACGTCGAAGTCCCGCTCGAACGGCGCACACATGGTATCCAACCGAATTTATTTAACCCAATTAAGGGACCCCGTACAGAATCTTCGAGCGAGTGCGCAGCCAATTGAAAGTTACACGTGTTTTTGTCAGCCCTCATTTAACAGCGGAGTTTGCTGGGAAACAAAGTGAAACCGGATACCAGAAACGGGCAGGAGAGATTAACAAGAGGAGAGAGAACGGGGAGAGAATATTCTGTAAATGAACAAGTGTTCGCTCCAAAAGGAAGCCCCTGTAGCTAGTGGACACGATAGCAGGTAGAAGAAGCAGAGGAAACGGGATACACTGCCGCTCAAAAGTATCAAATCAGTGCCAATGTTCCCGAAGCATTCGCAAAGGAGAAAATTGTAATATGATTCGCTGCGATTTCTCCGATCAATCATTTTTACCGGTTTCACCGCAGCAAGTAGCTTCAACAGATTTTTTTAATCTATTACAATTATTTTAACCGTATCACACTGAAATGATATAATATAAACTGATAATGATGATGATATCTTCGTCTTCGGTAAACCTCGTTACAAGAAGGACAGCGATCTCAACGATAGGAACGAAAAATCATGCGACAACTTTCTTTCAAAAACCAAGCTTCCCTCTCGTCAGATAGAAGCGCGCGCCGAACTTTTAAGTGGTAGTATACATAAAACTGCCTTCCTGCAAGTTTACACAAGATCCTAATGACTAGGTTCGATAACTAGCTACCAATAGCGAATTTCCAAACGCTCGAACGACCGCCTAACAGTTTGAAAGCCACATAAGTGGCTTCCGAGAATCGTGAAAGTTATTCTAGGCAGTTCTAAAAAATTTGGAAACCCTTTAACTGCTGCTGACAGGTCGGGTCAGACCCTAGCCCCCTGAAGCATCAACCGAGGTCCCTTCGATGATGCGGGCGTACCAAGGTGACCTGGCAAATCTTCGCGAGACTCCAAACGATGGAGGCGCCCAGAATATTTCAATGGGACCGATAATGATCGGTCTCCTACATCCACCTGTGCCAAATCATTAGAATCCTGTTAAATCGTGGCTTGATTTCATTGTGACTGCGACATACAATACTTAGCAAAATATTGATGTTCGTGGGAAAGCAATAACTACGTACAATAGTTTATATAACATTATATAACATTATATAACATATATTCCCCTCTTTAATTTCAATTCGATGTTCAAACCGAATCGTTGCGTTAAACAATGACGCTTGTTACGTATTACGATCCGACCAAACTGTTATCCGATACAATAACTAGAATTTTCAAACGTCGAGAAATATTAGGGTGTCCCATAAGTTCTTTCCGTGCCGCGCTGTAAATAACTGAAACTGGTTGTGCTTATACATATAAACAGGCAGACTCGTCTCTTGGCTATTTAGAATATCGGTTTCAGTCGTCCCGAAGCTCTTTTAGAGTGCGTTTCGTTGGTGACAAAGTTCCTTATAACATTTTTTCTACGCCGTTCGATATGGATAGCTAAAAGAAGCATTTGCGGCATGTTATGCTTCATTGCTTTAAAAAAAGTGATAGGGTAAAGAACACTGCGAACGAGATTTGTACCGTTTACGGTGATGGTTCTACGATTATTAGAACAGTCCGCGATTGGTTTGAGAGATTTAGAGCTGGCAATTATGATTTGAAAGACGAAGACCGCAGCGGCCGTACAACAACGACGGATGCGGACCTTATCAAAGATATGCTCGCTGAAAATCCGCGATATAGCGTGCGCGAGATAGCGGATGCCACTAACATACCCAGGACAACGGTACATAAGCATTTAATCGAGATGGGATATGTGAATCGATTCGAAGTTCCACACCGTCAAATTTTCATCTCGACAACGCAAAACCGCATGTTGCGTTGGTCGTAAGACAAAAATTATTGCACTTCGATTGGGACGTTCTACCTCATCCTCCGTACTCCCCAGACATTGCACCATCCGATTATTACTTGTTCTTCTCGTTAAAAAATTCTCTCCGTGAGAAACGGTTTAAATTCGTAAGCGAAATAAAAACGCACCTTGATCAATATTTTGCAAACAAGCCTCAACGATCTCGGAAAGACGGCATAACGAGGCTTCCTGAAAGATGATGGAAGAAGGTAATGGAGCAGAAAATAGTTCATATATAACACAATAAATCAACCTTAAACAACAAATATCGCGTAATCATTTGGCATCAGAAAAAAGGAAAGAACTTATGAGACACCCTAATGCATTAAAGCGAACGCACAAAGTTCATTCCATTCGAATTTATATACAGAAACTTGTTTCCTTTCCGCATTTCATTTGCCACCACGAGATGGACACTTTAATCAGGAAGCCAATTGAATTTCGAAGTACTTATCATTCCGCTAACTAACTTTCCCAAATCCACTCGCGTACCCGGGCGTTTCCGAAACTTCTTTGCATCCGGCCCACGAGAAACCGCGTAAAGTTCCTTTCTCTATCGCGGGCAATACGTTTATGTTCTTTTTATAACCGGCCATATATGTAACCATCCTTTGGAGAGAGAGAAATCCAATTACCAACCGCGCCGCATTTGGCGCGGTACGAACGGACTCCATCCACTCGGACTTGCATCTATTTCGCATCAGGTGGAAGCCAATTGTGCTGCCCGGGTCAGACCAATCGGGAGTCCCGCTCAATAGCGGCAGGCTAAATTATTATAATGCCGAACGAACAATGCACACGGCTACGCGGAAATTCTATGCTAATCAATTGCGAAATTAAATCTGATTCCCGTTCTATATCCGAACGCTAAATACTTGGAGATTTTTCGCGAGCTCGGCGAATCACGGTTTTTAACCAGTTAACTGTGGCGTCTCCTTTTCAGAGCGCGTGTCTATATGCGTCGCGACAATCAAGCGACGACGAGTATATTCGTCAAACACAGAGAAAGTGTCGCTGTTAAAATATT